ATGAAGTTGGTATCGTTTTTATGTTTCTTAATGATTTTTTAGACTTGAATTTAAAATCTATAAATATTTTTTTAATTATATCAATTAGAAAAGATGACATATTTCATTTTAAGTGAAATATATACGGGTGATGTTTAAATTGCAAAACGATATATATTATTATTATTATTATTATTATTATTATTATTATAAATTTGCGGAAAAACTCGGGCTTCGCCCCAGGCCGTTTTTTGTGTTTTTTATGAAAATATATAAAAGTTTTGACTGTAAGGACCAAAAGTTTCAAAATTGTTAAAGAAATAAAGGGGTTGGAATTAGCTAGTTTTTAGAAAATGGACCAAAGTTGTCAATTCCTTAAAGTTTTGTGGCCAAACTTTGAATATTAAAAGGTTCGTAAAAAATATAAAAATTTTGATTAAAATGACCAAAAGTGTCAAAATTGCTAAAAAAATAAGGGGAAAAAAACATAAAAATTTACTATTTATAAGGGAACAAAGTTTTAATATATATATATATATATATATATATATATATATATATATATAGAGCTAGGTTCAAGTATTCTAACTTCCACAAATACTTTTTATAATTATGCTAGTTATTTTAACTTTGACCTAATTTCTTCTCATTCTTATATACAACCGTTCACTGTCAAAAACTCTATTCCACCATTAAAAAAACTTCCACCGACGACCACCATCACCTCGATTTACAACAACGTCTCACCACTTCCACCTATCCCCATCAACAACCTTCTTCGTACCCAAGATCATCATCGCCATCGTTCATAATCTCGAACCTGCAAATAAAAAAGGGGAAGAATGGTTGTTATTTTTGCACAATCGTTGAACCACACAGCCGATACCCATCACCATGTGTCCTCAAGAGCCATTACAGCACCGACGATTGTTCAACCCTCCGACTATGGAAGAATAGAGGAAGGTCGAAGTTGGCTTCCATCGCCGACGATCCCATCGAATTGATGACTTCTACTGCGCAAGGCAGCGAACAGCGGCATACACAACGACCACTTTCGTTCTTCATCGTCTGCTACTAACTGGCGGTAGAAAGCAACGACACACTACCAAACTTCGAATCGTGACTGATTCTTTATAACTGATCCATCACGTCTTCTTCAACCTAACCCTAAACCACGATTGCTCTACATCCTTCAACATCATCATCTTGCTATTGCTGCTTCATTATCATCTTTTGTATACCTCGAAAGCCTCTTTACAGAATCCAAATTCTAAAAGCAAATCAATCAGGCCTTTATACGAGTACGCATTAAAAAAAACCAAAGTTTGCTCATTTGGAAGAGTGCAAATGGAGCTTGTCGTATCCCACCTTTAATTCTGAGCGCTTTAAAGATAATCATGTAAGTACCTAAATTCCTATAAATGATCTGTTTCTGCATCATATCGAACACAACAACCATATCCCCGATTCTCCTATTCACCCTCAGCAATTCAAGCATATAGTTATAGGAATCCGTGTTATGAACAAGATTAGGAAGCTCAGAAGCTTATTTAAAGAAAGTGAGAGCTTTATTTGGGTCTGGAAATGACTTAAGAACCCTAGTAATTTCCTCACCAGCATGTTGTTGTCCCTTATTGAAAGAAGCAGAAGACTGTTACTCTGGCTTAGAAGACAGAGCTAACTCTAATATCTTATTTAATCACTTGTCATGTTTGTATAGAGTTTTGGTATCTTATAGGGAGATTATGAGAAAAAAGTTTATTTTACCTGAACCAATGACTTTCTTGCTGCAGGCAGAGGCAAGATGATGGCAAATGGCAACACGATCTTTACGAACAACCTGATCCACAAGTATCAAGTATGAATCTGATTACTCTTTCTTGGTTCCATAATGATATGCTAATATATGTTTTGATTTGCGTTTAAAACTATCTCTAATCACCCTTCTGTCAAGCGTATGAAATTGCCCCCTGTCGTCAAAGTTGCCACAAGTTATCCAAGTATGAATGATTTTCCTTCTGTATGAGATAATATAAATAATTAGAAAAAGGTATTCAATTTACCGATAAATCTATTAAACATGTTGATGATTTTTTTAAAAGCATGTCAAATGTGATGCCATTTTCTTTTATTCATGCCGACTGTCACTTTTACTTTATGATGTTCAACAGATAAAGGATTTGAAGTGTATAGGATTCCATTCCCGTTGTCAAGGGGATAAAGACAGAGTGAATCAAAATTATGTTATTCAGATTCAATTACAGTTGCCAACTTTCAAGACATTCTTGGATCTTGTTGGGATTCATTTAACAGGGAAGGATTCAATTACATAGTGATGTGAAACAACCAGCATGATAATGACTTTGTATTCTTACAGAATTGACTTGTTATTCATTCAGAATGGATTTTTTTATTCTGTTGGAATGGATTAACAACAATATTCCCTTAGAATGTATTAGTATTTTACTTTAATTTCAATGTTTTTATTTGCTTTTTAACTGTTCTCAATTTTATTCCTTTAAGAATAAATGTAATTGTTAACCATTATTAGTCATATTCTTTCAGAATTGATGTAATTTATGTTCATAGTTGTATTCTTTAAGAATGAATGTAGTTACTGATTCTAAAACATTAAAATTCATTTCATATAAAATTTCTAGAATGTCCGAATTAATATAATTATTATTAAGAAAAATCAAAACTTTAAAGTTTAGAGAATTATTTTTTCCCTAAAATCTGCAATTTTCTTTTTTTAAAATTATGTTATTTGACTAAAATACCCTTATAATGAATTTTGATGGTATTTTTCAATTATCTTTAATTCAATAATATTTATTAATCATTTTCTTAAAATAACTAAAATGATTGGTGCAAGATAATTCCTACATCCACACAATAATTAGTTAGAATAGAATAACCTAAGCCTATATATATATAAATCTATATATATATATATATATATATATATATATATATATATATATATATATATATATATATATTATTTTTTGCGAACTCTCAACATCAGATTTCAATATAATTTATCTTTTTAAGTAGTGATTTTATTTATATATCTTGTATTTTTTTTTTCATTTGGTTTATCATACCCCAATAGTTCATACAAAAAGCAAATTTTTGTATGAACAAATTTGCCCCATGTTATTGTTGGGTAGGCTATTGCTGTGGGTAACGAAAGTTGAAGATGATTTTGGAATTTGGTATTTAGTTGGACACATCTTATTTGATGGTTTAAATGTTATTTGAAGATAACCTGGAACTTCAGTTGCATTACATAAAATAAAATCCATTGTTTGGTTGTATAGATGTATTTTCCCTACCGGTGGGAATATTGAATTTTGTGGATGTTTTTTTTTATTTTACTAGACTTTATAATGATCTTGGTGGATTGGAAAGTTTTTGTGTTGTTGATGGACAATTTAACCCTTGTAGATGGATTTACCTCTGTTTAATTCCACCTAGCCCCTGTTGTGGGACATTTCTCCTCGTTTTCCGGTGTTTGCTCCCAAGCTTTCTAACCGTTGCATTCAAACTTGGTTGCTATTAAATGTGAGGCCTTCTTCGTTTTCTCACTAGTTTCATTTTGGACTCAGAGGTATATTATTTCTGGGTTTTTGGCTACCAATCATTAATAGTAATAAACGACACAAAAACATCATTTGATCTATTTATAAAATAAAACATTGAGCATAACTCAAATTAAACAATTCAACATAAACTTACGCTAAATCAACATATATAAACTTTCGTAAAGGAAACATAAAAATAGTGTATGTAAAATTTTTTGATAAACATTATTAGTAAAATAAGTTACATATCATTGAAATAACTACAAAACTAATCAATCAAATATATCTTCATAATTGTAACTAATCTAAGTTATAAATTATACTTCTTTTCCTCCATAGACTCGTAGCTCATCAATGCCACAACTATACAAAATAAATCACATGGTCGAGGTCTATAACTTTTGGAACTGTATGATGAGATGGGAACTTCGGAAGAAGTTTCCCAATGTAATTTGCAACATCCAGATAAAATGAATATGTATCAATATAAGCACCTTCAGTTGTTTTACAATTATGTGTCTTCAGTTTGGTTCTTTTCACTTGAAATGCTTTGGTTGCATTGGTACAAAATAATGTGCAAAACTTTAAGTCCTTTTCCTTGAGCATAATCTCCTCGAAAGCCTTAGTCTTGAAAGTCCAACTGCCTGTAGTCCAATTGAATTGGTAGAGGGAAAGAAATCTTTGTCCGTAGCTAGCTATAAATTCTATCGCGGCTAGAATGAATTCATACTCCTCATTGGACATATAGTAGGGGAAGCTTACTCTTGTCCAACCCAACTTTGCTCCATTGTAGCCCTATCAATGAATAGATAAAGATAAATTCTAAAAGAACCCTAAACATGGTTGGTAAATGTAAGAATATTGCTATGTAATCATGAAAAAGAAATTGAAGTTGTTAATATTATTATTGGACATGGTAGCTATACTATATAACTTGAATGCATACCATTTTCTCCCAATTTTTCATCGTCCCCTTTCCCCTTCTAGAACTATATGGGACAATGCAACTATGGAAGAAATATGACACCAAGATATTAAAGTTTAGATATTCTAATAGACAGACATTATTAATTAGGCTTGGTCGAGGCTTAGATGATCATACTCTTTTATTAGAGTAGTTTGGAAAAAAAAAAGTTAAATTGTCCGTGGAGAAATGTAAAAATAATATTAATTACCATTTCAACTGCAGATTTTATTGACAGCGAATGTTGTTCATCGATTCCAAGCAAGAAATGAGCATAGGGTCCCGCACAAGCACACCCTCCCCTAGCTTGGATACCAAAAAGGTCGTTCATAAGCTTAGCAGCAAAAGCCCCATTAAGAGGCTTATTATGTGTCCCTGCTTCAGTATCTGAAGTGTCTGTAGTCGTGTAAACAAGGAAAGATAGAATTGGTTGTCTCTCTACCGTCGTATTTCCCAACACCCATATGTTCGGATTTTTGACAAGCCTCTCTAGTGCCTTTTCAATGTAATTGCGCTCTTTTTTGCAAATAACTTCACAGCTAATGTATTCTTTTACTTGAAATGCTAAAGCTACCTTTACTCGTTGGATAATCTGCGGGGTCCCAGCATCTTCCCTTTCTTCTATGTCATTAACATATAGTGTGTCCTAGGATGTGAAACGATTGGAATGGATTAGATTGAATTTAGATGTCATTAACATTAGAAACCGATTATAAACAGCAAAAGCGTCCCTTTTTAGCGACTGAATTAACAAACCATGCAGTGCCAAGATGGCCAGTTTTCTAGTGATTGGCGTACCTTTTCATTGAAGCAATTGACAAAGTTAACTGTTCCACCTCCACAGGTTGAAGGGGGAGAATCTTTCAGTTTGTATAGTGTCTTGCTCATCAGAAGAATCCCCGGTGATCCAGGCCCTCCAAGAAACTTGTGTGGACTTAAAGCTATGGCGTCGTAGCCATCATCAGCACCTGACCTCATGTCAATCTCTACATACGGACCACTATTCAACATTCAACATTAAAGATATCAGTTTCATACTGATCGAGGGTCTAACCAGTTATGTTAGATAGATTAAGAGGTTATGAAAAGAAATAAAAGATCGTACCTTGCTGCGAAATCAAAGCATGCAAAAGCTCCATATTCATGAAGCAAGCGAGATAGAGAACGGGTGTCAGAGCAAATTCCAGTGACATTACTACAAGCAGAAAAGGAACCAAGCATCGGGCGTCCAGTTCCTCGATAAAGATTCAGTTGGGACTTTAAATCATCCATGTTGATTAATCCTTCATTGTTCAGACCGATCTCTATAACTTCCGCTAGGCTTTGCCTCCATGAAAGGAGGTTGGAATGATGTTCATAAGGACCAACAAAAACTACCCACCTTTCTTCACTGGTTAGGCATGATTTTAGTACTTTTTCTCTTAAAACTGATGGAATAGAGATTCCCATGACCTCTTGGAGCCGTTTGATGGCTGCTGTAGTGCCCGATCCACAAAAAAGAAGTGCATCATCTTGTGTTCCGCCTAAGCATTTCTTGACGAACTCAGTTGCTTCATGAAGCATTTTCATAGTTTGATCTCCTACATAGCTATCACTTGTATGAGTATTACCTGAATGTCAATACACAAAATCTCATTACTTGGACAAGGACAGCTGTCCATAAACTTAAAGCTGCTTTTAAAAGCGCTAAGGAAACCATCGGGAACGTTTTTTTTTTCTGCAGAATTAATCACGTTAAATAATTCGTATATAAATACAAAAAACCACGCATATGTAACCTTACCATAGAATGGAAGAACAGCGTGGATGATGTAGTCTTCTATGTACTCAAGACATCGACCCGTGGCTGTATGATCGGCATACGTGAGCTTACGTATTCCAAATGGAGTGTGAATCTCAGCAACCCCACCTATTATTTGTGAGCGTACCCAGCTTAGTTTTGCATCAACAGTTGAATCACTCTCTGGTAGTTGTGTGCCTTTACGCAGCATGCCACAATCACTAATATCATTGTTAACGTTTATGGCCTTGAAACATTGTTGTTCCACCACTTTCGGATTGGTTAAGAGCGTCGGCAACATTACTTTTTCGTGAAAGAAAGGAAGCGTAGTTATAAGTTTAATAAATGGTACTTGAATCTCAGAGACTTGAAGTCTATTTAAGGACATCTTGTGTGCCAGGGAAAAGGATATAGTCGCCCGGATAATAAAACTACGTGTAGGTTAGGCTCAAGTAATAATAAAACTGTGGTATGCAGGTTTGGTTTAAATGGTATAGAGGGTCGTTAATTAATTTACGGCTAAACTATGAGCGTTGACCTGCTTATCTTGAAAGTGGAACACAGATTAAGTTAAAGTCAGAAAGGTGGTCGCTTGAAGCTGTAACACTGCCAACTTGCACTTTTTTTCCGTTATTTTCCGATACAAAAAAGAAAAAACATAGAAAAAAAAATTAAGACATTTTTTTTCTACATGTATGGTTTAATGGTGTTTTTACTTCAGTCGGATCTATTCTAACTACTAGATTTTTTTTTTGTTGGAGGAGAATAAGTTGCCACAAAATAGAGACACAAAGAAAAACCCTAATTAAAAGACACATTACCGACTAAAAAAAACCACTCCGGGAAATCATTTCGAACAAAATAGCTCAAATAAAGAATGTTGATATTACTACGGTAATTCTATACGCACTCTCTTTTATTACTAACTAGATTAATACCCGTGAAAACCACCGTTCATAATTACTAATCAAAGATTTACAAGTAATTATTAATTTATAAAGATAGAATTTGTGTATTTAATTCTATAATGAGTATTAAAATAAATATATACATTGTTATTAATATCCGATCTACGTTAAAATTTACTTTATAGGAATGGTCCATGTTACTCGTTTCTAGAAACTTAAAAAGCGTAATCATTAAACATATATTTGCAAAATATATTTTTATAAAAAGATCAATATCGTAATTATATAATCGTTAATTTAAATTATTATGTAAAAATGGTTTAAAGATATAAGCAAAATTCTTTATGTTTAGATTAATGATAAAATGTGCTGAGGTATGAAGTCTAGTCCAACATGGAGTATTTGGATCATGTTCATAGAGCATTTCGAGCACTTAGAACTATATGGAGCACTTGAGGTTCATGGAGCATGTGCCAAAGGAACGGATCATCTGAGAATGAAATGGATCGTCTGACAAATGAACGGATCAAGTGTCAAAGGAACGAATCATATAGAAGGGGGTTTGGAGCATCTGGAATATGTTTGGAGCACTTGGGAGTGATATGGAGCAACAAGGGATCCTTGTTGTGCCATCTGTTGAAGGGTTGGGCCAAGAAGGATGTTGTTGTGCCAAGGGCACTACTTCTTGCGCTAAACTACCCCCTCTTGCGCCATGGGGTACATCTCTTGCGCCATGAGGTACTCATGTTGCGCCATGGAGTATGTTGTTGCGCCAACCATGGCCTTGTTACGCCATGCATGTTGTTGTTGTCCCAAGATGGTGATGTTGCTCCAACCTAGAAGTTCTTGCGTCATACTCGATGCCTGTTGCGCTATCCTTGCACATGTTGCGCCATCATGGTGCAAGATGGGCCATTTTGGTTCCTTGATGAGCCGTGGTATCCCTGATGAGCCAAGTAAGCTATGAAGTCCTCTATGATGCTCAAGATCGTTCAAGGATGCTCAGAAGTTGGTATTGCTCAATGATTACACCATGTTGTGCCACTGATATGTGCATATTTAGCTATATATTTAGTATAGATTTTTATTATTTATTTGCTAATTATTTGCAATTCATGGACAAAAGGTGCTTAATTGTGTTTAAATTGTATTTTCAGTCCAAAAGATATGCTCGGAAGCAAAAGGAAGCAGGAGATGCATTCGGAAGCTCGGAAATTGAAGAAAGAAGAAAAAGAGCCAATTTCATAAAGTACTCGGCGAGTAGGGACGTCTGCTCAACGAGTAGGCACGAAGATTCGCGAAGCAACACGTAAAGTCCTTACCGTACACAGATTCTTCAAGGGTACTCAACGAGTCTATTGTCTACTCGACGAGTAGCCCCTGTTTTGAGTTATCTATAAATAGAAGCAACAAATCCGGATGGAGAACCTCTCTGGCTTTTGGGAAGCTTACTTGGCGACTAAGGAGACTGCTGGAGATCTGAAGAACGTGAGAAGAACCCTAATCCTCAATTCTAAGAAGAATAAGGCAATTTAGGTTTAATTTTCCACTTTACCTTTGAATAGAACTATGTCTAACTTGTTTGAATTCGTTTTTAGCTTTTTATCTATTGCAATTATGAACTAATTTCGTTAGTTTCTGTTTAGGGTAGACAAGTTTGCTCCTATGGATTAATTTTACTCTTTTGATTAATTCTTAATTGGTGATATTGTTTTGTTAAGCTTGTTAAAGAACCGCATACATTAATAACAACTATCTTCTGTTAATAAATCAGTAATTAAGTTGTATGAACATCTCTTAGTTATTAATTTCATATGATTTATGTGACCACGTAGTTATATGTCTAGGAACAACGAATGTGAAACTAGAATTAATTAGAAGATAGGTAAGTTAATACGTGAGCTTGTGTGATACACCATTAACAAGGGGTCATCTGAATCACCAATTTAATTAACAATTACAAGTCTTACTTAACCCAAATTAATACACTAGGAAATTTATTAGTTTGACCACTTGATCACTGCTTAAATTAATTTATTTTCTAATGATTGGTATGAGTTGAACCTAGACAGAAACCCTTTTTATCATCGAATTTAGTTGCAATTTAATTGTTAGCCGCTTAATTAAGTGTTAGTTAAGTTTTAGTTAAGTTTCTAGTCTTGTAAAACTAGAGAAACCCCTTCCATTTTATTATTTGCTTTAGATAATATTAGTAATTAGTTTAATTTCCGTTCCATGAGTTCGATACCCTACTTATTTAACTATACCACGATTGATAGGTCCACTGACTTTGTGTGTCTAATTCATAATTGAAAAGTATGATTAAAACTAGTTGGTTTTACACACATCAAGTTTTTGGCGCCGTTGCCGGGGAACGGTTCAAAATTAATTTTAATTTCTAGTATTATCAACCCTTTGTGTGAGATTAATCTTGCACAAAGTTATTGCTTTAATAGTCTAGGTATTATGTTTAGTGTTAAGTTTATCTGATTTATTAGAATTTTTGTTTTAGCCTTGAACTCGCCGAGTGTAATCGAAGCTACTCGACGAGTCCATCGCTGAAACCCAGTGTCGTTTTTATTTTATTTTTGTTCTTTTTACGCATGTTTTCTGTTTTGTTTACAGTTCGTTTATGACCAGGGGAGGAGGTACACCTTTGATCCCACCGCTTGAAGACCCGGAAGCAACCTTGAGGAAAAACAAAGGCAAGAACGTAGGAGAAACCACAACATCGACGAATTCACCGTTGAAGAATCTAAAAGCTCTTTTTAGTAAGAAAAAGAGCAAAAAAGTAAGAGAATCTAGCATATTTTCAGAGGCGGACGAGGACCCAAACAAGGACGATATTGTTTATGAATCCGAAAAAGAAGAAAGCGAATCCGAAGGAGGAAGTGACATAGAAGGCAGACTAGCAAACACCATGGCGAACATCGATGAAGTTCCCATGGGTGAATGGAAGAAAAGGATGTGTGACGACACCGGCCCGGGACTCGTGCAACCCGCGATTCCCGCAACTTCCACCTTTGAACTTAAAGGCCACATACTTGCTTAACTTAAGGAGATTTCATTCTACGAGAAGGATCATGAAGATGCATACAAGCATCTTGACGAAGTCAATGACATAGCCTACTACTTTAATGTCCCTAATGTGGCTCGCGACACTGTCTTGCTTCGTATGCTACCTGTCACATTCAAGGGAGCTGCTAAGGATTGGCTGAAATCACTTCCCCCAGGATCCATCACTACATGGGCTAAAATGAAAGAAGAATTCATAGACCAGTTTTTCCCGCCTTAAAAAATAGCCAAGTTGAAGAAAGCCATAGCTAATTTTGAACAACAAGCTGGAGAGTCACTATATGAGGCGTGGGAAAGCTACAAAGGCTTACTACGGAATTTCCCACATCACGATCTAAACAGCCAACAAGAAGTCTCCATTTTCTATGATAGAGTAAATGTGACAACCAGGCAACTCCTTGACTCGCAAGGACCACTCACAAAGAAACCACCTCCAGTAATAAAAGCTCTAATTGAAGAATTCTCTAAGAACTCTATAGAATATCACAATTAGAGTGGGTTGTGAAAATTATAGAGGACCTCATCTAACTAAAGATTGTGATCTTGACGAGAACGGGAATCGGAAGGTGCAATTGTGCTATTCAAGTGGTGATAGGTTTGATGACAATTGGCGAAAACCAAAGAAGGAATGGCTACCTTATGATGAGTACAAAAAGACAAGGGAGGAAAAGTATAAGCAAAAGGAGAGAGACTTTTATCAAAAGGAGGAACCGGTACATGAAAATAAATCAGATTTGGAAGACATGCTTACAAGATTCGTGGCCGCATCCAAGAAAAGACACAATGATACCGATGTTACACTCAAAGATCAACAAAATATGTTGAGAGAACACCAACTTATGATGAAAGATCAACAAGCCTTGCTTAGGAATCAGCAAGCATCTATTTCAACATAGAAAAGTAGCTTGGGCAACTTGCTCAACAAGTGAATGAGAGAAGACCGGGTGGACTTCCTAGTAATACCGAAAGTAACCCAAAAGGTGAACATATAAATATAGTGACAACTAGGAGTGGGAAGATTATAACTCCTCTGACCCCTATTCAGCAAGAAGATCCTAAACTGGTGCAAGAGGGTAAAGAGGAACGTGAAAAATCACAGAACCCCGATCCGACTCGCTAAGCCGACGTTACGGACTCGACGAGTCCCCCACCTGAACAGAAAAGTCAGTCTCCTGTTAAGCCATATCAGCCTCCACTTCCCTTTCCGGCTCGAGCTAGACAAGAAAAAAATGAATTTGACTACCAGAAGTTTCTGGAAAACATAAAGGCTCTCCATATTAATATGCCAGTCATAGAGGCGGTTGCACAAATGCCGAAA